CTACCTCTTCCTTGAGAAACACCCCAGTGTTTTTTTTTTTAAATACGAACATCTCCTGTCGAGTTCCCCCTCAGCCAGTGACATTCACCTTTCACCAACTAGGGTTAGAAGAATAAACCAGGGAAGTGGCTGGTGCAGCACAAAGGGGGGAGCCATTTTTAGGAGAAACCAGTAAACACAATCTTGGCAACCCTAAGGAACTCTGGAATCCAGGCAGCCTTCTGTCTCAGAGGAGTTGAGTCATTCAGAAAAGTAAGAACTGATTCTATATACTTACTCATTTGGAAATAATTTGTTAAATTCCCACATCTGAGGCATTGTGAGGCAGTGTGAAGTGAGTGAAGGCTCTGCCTTTTCCCTCAGGGACCATGAAATTTGTTGGGGTGCTGCTGATATATGCCCACACAAGGGCAGGTACTGTTTGCATGTGAGGTTCTCTTTCTTCCAAGAGCCAGAGAGACCAAACCTAAGTTGTCCCATCCAATTCCAACGAGGACCTTCAACATCTTGGAAAGAGGACAGTGCCAAGTCCAAAGTGCTCCAGAGCTGAGAAAAGCAGAACTGACAAATGTCTTCAGGGTCAACGTGAGCTCTTTCTGTGGCTTCAGAGTTCACATGTCAGAAGGGTATACCTTTGTGGTCCGATAGACTGGAATTTAACCCTGACTCCACAGCTCCTAGGCCAGGTGTACTTTGGTGAGCTACCTGATCTTTCTTCCTGAGCCTTCTTGCTATATCTGCGCAAAGAGCCTCCCAACACCTGTGTCATGGGGCAACGGTGAGACTTGGTAAAGAGACACAGAAAGCTGTCATGCTCTCTAACCTTGCACAGGTGCTAATACCCGCTGGATCTTCTCTGGCCCAGGTCAGAAATCAGCTAACATTTATATTTCAACAGGGCACAAAGAAGGTATTTGAACCTAGATAGGACTTTCTTCTTCTTTGGGGGGAACTTGTCTGCAAATGGACCCACAGGCTGTAACTAATACAGATTGTGGAAGAGTTTACGGACATTCCTGACCTCATCACCTGAACAGAGACATCCATCTGCGGGCTAAGCATTATGGGAGGCAGAGTAGGTGAAAAGCAGGGATGGAAGGTCTCCAGAGGGAAGATTTGGACTTGACCCTGAAAGTAAACTTACTAGTGCCCTGACAAGGCTAGGTGCCCGTTTTCCAGATTCATACCCATTTTTTTTTTCCTTTGCACGTGTGTTTGTTTTCCCCAACTCTGGCCAAGCCTGCAGTTGGAAATGCCAAGACGAGCTGCTTTGGTTGAACCCAGACACAGGGCACATCATAAATTCCATACTATAGTCCCACTTCCAGGACTTGTGCAGCCAAAGTTAGCAAAGTCCTAGAGCTTGATGTTTCCACAAAATGTCAGAGAAGGTATGGACTGAAGTGGGGGTAGGGGGAAGTCTGGTGACTGTCCATATCAGACTCTGTTATAACCAGGACAATCTCTTTGCATCCCTTCCCCCAAGGAAGCCAGGGTGAACTTTCACAGAGAGAGCTAGCTGAATTCTCACAAAGGCAGTGGGCTGATTTGAAGGCGATGCTTCCATCATTTCACTCTCATTTTGAGCTAGGACAGGTGTGATATTAAGGTCCCCATTAGGAACCTAGTCCTCCAATTTCAAGAAAAAACCTGGCTGTTAACTCAAAGAGAGTTGCAGGTGCTTTTGAAAAAAAAAAAAAATCCAGTGATGAGCTGGGGCTTGCCAGCTGACTATAGATAATACTTGAAAATGAAGACCAATTAAAAGTTTACACTGGGCCATTTATCATGCCATATTATAGAGTTCCTTCCCAGAGCTTCTTTGCTGGGGCTAACAAATGCCCCCCCCCACACCAACAGGAAGTCACCTGTCTTGTCAGTGATGCCTCATCCCTTTGCTCTGGGCTTCAGCCCACCTTGGATGTTCCCATCCCCAGTTGCTGTGGAAAAAAAGCATATGAATGACGGATGCAGTAGAGGCTTTCTTCCCCATCCAGATATTTTGGCAACTCCTGGCACAGCAATCACTCAAGAAGGACATACAAGGGAGGTAACACCAAGCAATATCCAGAAAAGCCACTGCAAAGTAGACTTGGAAACAGAAAAACAAGGAAACAGACTCCCCCAGACCTGATAGATGCATTTTGAAAGGCCCAAGAATTTCTAAATAACTTGGCATGAAGCTAAGGATCAAGTGACATTTATCTGTTTCTTATTTTTTGGCCCCCAAATGTACATTTCTGTGCAGTAAGATTGCTGAACAAATTAATATTTGCATACAAAGTTGTAAGCAGTGCAGGAGTCAGACAGCTGTGAACGTTTGGAAATACTTCGAGCTCCCCCTCTGATTAGCTCCTGCATTTTTGTTTTTTATTCCCCAAGCGGACACTCACTCTGACCCAGATCACTTGGTGATTAGGGTCAATTCATGTTTAAGCTTTGAAGATTAGAGAGACCAGAAATGGCCACCACCTCCCTTTCTATTTTATGTTTAAAACTTTAAACTTTAGAAACAAAAAACCTGAAAAAAATGCATAATATTCCAAGTTCACTAAAGGAATTTATCCACATTTCTGCCATGTTAAATGTTAGCAAAGTTTATATTGGACTGTCATATTTCTTCACTTTATTCACCAGCATACAAGACGTCGATCTCAACATCTGGTTTTTAATAACCCTGGACATCTGGGAGCTCCTTTTTAATCCTATGGTGGACGAGGCACAGTAGTGATATTGGCAGTGTATATTTTCAACCTACAACTCCTGTCTGTTTCAATCATAATTAATTACCACTTTTTAATATATTTAATTTGCTAAAAGTCATTTGCATTAGACCACATTTCACTGTTAAGAAAATAGTGGTAGATTTTGGTGGCAGTGGCTTTCTTTTTTTCTTTCTTCTTCAAAATTTAAAACCCTCTATGAGTGGATTTGAAACAAACTATAAATGTATACATGTTGTTGGGTTTTAAATGCAAAATGAAATAAAGTGCTCTGCAAGGAAAGTGATTTTACAGCCATTTAGAAGCGGTCAGCAGGGGCTGTGGGCTGCATTTTAGGGAAAACTTATTTTGTTTTGTGACTTTGGCAAATCATAACATCGCTCTGTGCCTGGAGTTTTCCTACGGCAGTGACTTTGGGGATCAAAAACCTTATGATGAAAGCTAGGGTTTCCATCCAGAGAAATATACTACACACATACCCACAACATTCTGCTTTGAATTTCAAGGGATGGCTAGACCCCTGGAAACCCATTTGTGGGTGCCCTAGAGTCCCATGCTGTAGACTTTCTTTCTTCATTAGCATAAAAAGGAACATTAACTTTTCTTTTTCTTTAGGAACTGAAAGGAAGTTTAATGAATGTAAAAATGCATATTTCTCAAGTTAGGTAGGGAAAAGAGAAGTTTATTGCCAGGAGCAATTGCTAGATTGTGTAGTGGTTAATAAACACAGATAAGTTATACATGAGAAGACCCATTTAAAATGATCAATTGTACCTTATTTTTTTGCTAGAATATTCCTATCTAAACTGTCAATGCAAGTTCACACTGAGCTGTCCACTTTGTACTCAGGGCAAATCACTTGGTGGACTCAAATCAGTTGGGGGTTGTTAACCCTTTGTGGGCCATAGATCCCCTTCGCAGTCTGGTAAGCTCTGGTTCTCTTCTCAGAATAATATTTTCAAGTGTGCAAAATAAAATACACAGAAATAAAAGGAAACAAATTATATGAAAACTCACTTCAAAGACCACAGATCTGAATGCTTGAATAGATGAAAATTACCTTAGCCTATTGGCGAGATTCGATTGAACTGTATGAAATTGCTGTTTTTCTAGATCAAAATGGTGAAATAGTAGCATTTTTATATGATTCAAACAAATATTACAACAACTTATGCAATAAGAATCCAAATGGTGAGAAAATGATCCAAGTTATTTTGTTTCCTGTTCCTGGTTTTCAAAACAAAGAAGCAAATCATGGCAAAACCTAGTTTCATTGGGGATTTATTAAAAGACACAGCTCCCAAATTATGTGTGAGATCAGGATATGAATGAACTACTCAGTCTTCTACACTTTGTTTCAATCCTTGTAGTAAAAAGTGAGAATTCTTGTTCAGAACAGGACCTCAGGATGGTAGATTTACTTCTGTCTTCAAAGATTCAATTTCTCTGCCTATTGGCCACTTCACTAAGTGAGGAAAGTGGCCAGAGCCATTCTGGAAACATTTTCAACAACAAGAATCCAGACCAAATAAGTTTCAGTTTATCCATAGTTGAGCACAATTCTAAGTTAAACAAAATTTTCTTTCTACAAGCATTCTACTGAATTGAAAGTTTACTCTCTTCTCTTTGAAACTTATTTGATTGCAAATGTATAATCATTCCATGGCGTGCACATCCTCTTTTATGCTGAGAGCAAAATAGAACCTGACAAATCGAGATGATCGCAGCATGTCTGAGCCTTTGTGAAATAACTGATGTGAATTATCGCATGCTACAAAAGTTTGTTCCACCCAAGTAGACGGAGTTGTGTTGTTTTTTTTTTTTAATTCTTCTTCAGCCTTTATTGATACTCTAAGCTTAAGAGAAATTAAGGGTATTTGATTACTATAATTACTTCTCTGCTTACTTAAAAGGTTTAATCTACTCCTTAGGCATATGCAATTCAGATTGCATGCTTTCCAAAAATATAATCGTCTGCTAATGTAGACTAATTTTAATCTTCTAATCCAATCTTGACACAGAGTCAGAGCTGGGTGGGTGGAATGTTTTTGTGTGGGGGTTGCCATAGATACAAAACTCAGTTATGTATTTGACAAGTCAGTGATGTGGAGCTTAAGTTACTATAGATTTTTTTTCCCTCCCTCTTTAAGATTAAAAAACAAAGTGAAGATCAGTGTGCCTTTCCAGTGCATCACGGTGTAACTAACCTTCTCTTCTTTCATTCCGGTGCTCCCCTCCTCTCCTCTCCGTGCACCTCCCTACCCGGGCCGGCCACAGGATGACGAGGAGGGCATATGGGCATAGCCGGGCCTGTAAACCAAAGTTCCAGTTTTGTTTTGAGGGGTGAGAAACCATCTTTTATATCATTTTTCTTTTACAAATTGCATTCTGGTGTTGTATTGTATGTGTGCTCAATTGTGTTCGCTGATGTTTGTGACCGTGCCCTGTGTCTGCTTCTGTGTTCTGTGACCATCCCCCAAGAGCCCCCTCCTTCCTGCTACCCCTTCCCGCAACCACATTATTGCTCTGCCGTGTTGGGGCTGGGTTGAGCACGATTCAAATGTTTCTGTGTTATTTAAGATGTAAACTGTGCCCTTGCTAGGATTTATACTCACTTTTTAAAGGCATGATTGTGGACTCAGAAATTGTCACAATTCTCCAGTAGCGGTTTTCAGCCAACTACTTGCTTTTACCAGATATGCCAGTGTGGTGTGACTCTCATGTCCTTCTGGTTGTGTCAAATGTTTGGCAAGGAATAAGGAAAATAAAAGTGTGTATCTTCGTGGAGCTGAAACTGTCATCTCTGAGAAGCCCATTTAAAGGATTATACTATCTCTTCTATGGCAGTTTTGAAGAAAACACAAGGATCAAGGCATAGTAATGGTGAACGGATAACTATATCTCTTTAAATGAATTAGAATAGAAATATCAGTATTGGCAGGTTAGTGGCCTTCTATCTGTTGCTTTATTTTTTTGCAGTTGTGCTTCTACGGAGCTTTGCATTATAAATTTAATGCATTGCATTTTTTTTCAGAGGGTTTTGCTCTTTTGAAGTCTGATTTTTACCCATTAAGAACCCACCCTTTATTTCGGTGTTATCTGCGTTATAATTGAATAGTGGCACATGTAATTACCACAAGGCTATAAATGGAATGTTGAACTCTAGAGACTTGCTGCTGTGCATCACACCTCTTCGGGATACTGCAGGTTGTTTAACAAGTCATAAACTCCCCAGAGTTGAATATACCTATGGTTCCATAGAATATGCTGTTGAACTTATGACACTGTATATGCCATTTTGTTCAGAACAAAGAATGTGGTCAATTGTGTGCTGTGGTGATTTTTTATGGTCAAAAAGTACTCAATGTGCAGTTCTTTTTCTGGATCAAATATGAAATGTCACAAGTCTGTGATTAGAGAGGCAATTTGGGGGGATAACTTAGCAGGTGTGCCCTTCCCCAAGCCTTGCCTTCGTATTGCATGATAGTGGTGCTTCAGGCAAATTTTAAAACAATAACTGGTGTGGTTTGCCCACAACTGACAATTTCATTGGTTCATTTCACTGCTTAGTTAAACCTCTTGCAGGTCCCACCAGTGCCTCAGATGGTTTTCTGTGGTCCTGTGGAGAATTAACACAGGGGTTGATTTTCAGATACCTGGATCCATTTGCTGCGAGGAGAACCTGTTTCCCAGTCACATCAGACTATCTATCTCCTCTCTTCTCACTTTTCTGGGCAAAGGGGAAAACAACACCAGAACCAACTCTTCCAAAAGCAGAGTGGTTCCAGAGGGAAGCTTGTCAGTGTGAAGAGGTGGGGAAACCAGAAAAATCCCTAAGGTCCAATCTGAGACTCTCTCCCTAACTTAAAAAAACTTTAAGGGAAACATCACATTTATTCTTGCAGAAAAGCTCAATACACATGTCACTTGACCTACAACAACATTAAATAAGAAATAAAGGTTTTATAATGTTAAAAAGTAAGTATGTGAAACATGCCCACAGCATGCAGAGATGGGTAGGCAGAAGAAGGCTCTAAGAGGCTGGGGGTTGCCTTGAGAAGAGCAGGTCCTACTTGAGGCTCTTCCATGAAGCTCTTTCTTCTGCCATCATTAAGTGTTAGGATGCTGGGCTGTATTCATGTCTCCTCCTGAATAATAAAGATTTTTATTGTTCTTTTGCAAGATTCACGATATCCACCCTGCCATCCCCTCAGATAGGACCTGTGTTGTCATCCTCAGGGTAGGATGCCAAGTTTCTTAGAGAAACTTGCTTTGTTCAAGGCAAATGGAGACGGCGGTGTTAAGCCCCTACCCCCTTTATTCGTTCGTGAATTTCCCCAAGCACTGTGGACCCCAGAAAACAAACGTCTTCTGAAAATTATTTAATATATAGTCCTACTTTAATATGTTATAATAAATTTTATAGACTTCTGAGGAAAACTACCTATCTTCCTTTATGACTCCTTTAAACAAGTTTGCTCAGATATCCTCAGGCTTTTAAAACCATAGCTTAAGGATTTAAATAATGAGATACTGGGGACCTTCCACTTTTGAACAGCCGTTGCATGTTTTGAGTCATATTACAATCTGTGGGCCTAAGGAGACGTTAAATTTATAACTAAAGATGGATAATAGTGGCACATTAAAAATTAACTGTTTTGAATATTTTGATTTATGGCCCTTATAAAAGAAATATCACAAGAAGTTATTTTACTAGCCATCAGTCATATGCTCATAATAGCATCAGAAGTCTGTGACTTGAATCTGGTGTTTTGGTGCTGAAATGAATCACAGTTTAGGAAAAGTTGCTCCAAAAATTACAACAAATTGGAATTAACATAACAGCCCTGACAACTGACAACTCCTCCTTCTTTTGCCACTTCCAGACACTAGCCCAGGCATGATTTATTTGTCTCGCTGTGATCATTCAAGGGCGGTGTTTTCTGAGAGCAAAATGAACTGGGGAAAGTTTCTTTTCTAAAGAGTTTCGACAGCCCCTAGAGCTAGGCTTTCTCCCCATAAACCTCACACCCCACCCCAGCCTTATCAGCGTGTGACCTATATAATCCACAGAACCCCAACCTTAGAAGGGCTCCACTCCTGGTCTAATGCTCCGCTGTCACTGTCTTCAAGTCTTTAATAATTTTTTAACATGGGGCCCCACAATTTCATTTTGCAATGGGCTGCACAAATTACATAGTTGGTGCTGCTTGAATTCAACATATATTCCTACGTTCTGCTTCTAGATTCTCTCTACTCTCCCTCCCTACTGGCTCATCCCAACTCCTACTTTCCTATGCCTAGAATTTACCTTTGGCTTGTCTTATTTTCCTGGTTTTCTTGCAGAGACTCTGTAGGGTCACATTCTCCAGCAAGTTGTTGCCCTCATGGGTATCCCTTCAATGTGTTTTCAGTCATTGTCCTCTTGCCCCCTACTTTTGATTGTGACAATGTGCTCTTAGAGCCCTTACTGCATTTTCTATCTTGCTTTGCAAAACAGAAAAAGCAGCAGCTTAAGTCTTCATGATTTTCCTCCAGGAAAATCCACTTGATGTGGCAATCATTTATGTCAGCAAATAACTCTTCATTTCCACTGAATGGAAGTGCTTTCCTTGGACCCCCAAGAGGTACTTTGTTCTGTGAACATTCAATGAGGCAGAGCAATGAGGTACCAAATCTAGGCACCTTGGGAGATCCACCGCCGCACCTGCCATGACATTTGAACATTTGAGCTTTTACTGTGAACTCTCATAATGGAGCAGACATTGAACACAAGATCATGTTTACTTCTTAAACCACTAGAAAGGAAGAATTCTTTTCAGATTGAAAACATATGCAAATTTTTAGGACCTGATTCATAAAAATACAGATGTGAGCATTAACAAGTTTGGCAAAGGGCCATGATGCTGGTAGGTGCATCTTGTTCAAAATGAAGAATTGTAGTTCTGTGCCACCAGCACATGGACGCTGTTACAGGAGTGCGAGTATGAATCACAGAGCACTAAGACACGAGGAAGGGTTTTTTTTTTTTTTTTTTTTTTTTAACACATAGAAGCAGTGCTCAGAGGCCAGTGGAAACGTCCTGTCAGGAAGAATGAGGAAGGAGATATTTTATTGTGGCTGGAAAGTTTATATCTTCCTTGCTTTCTCTTAGTAGAAAAGGTCTACACGCTAGGCTTTGTGCTTGTACTGGGACAAAGGAAATCCAGTGGCTGGGACAGAAGTCATAGAAAGAGGCTTGGGCTTTCGGTCTCTTTAACTCAAGTCCCATTTTCACTGCAAACTGGAAGTTTCTTTATACCTTCTGTATAGGGATACCGCCCTTTGTCTCCTATGGCTGAGGATCAGGTGCATCTCGTCCTTGTGCCATTTTCTTTCATTCATTTATTTATCTATTCATTTTCCACTTATTCCTCCATTCTTTCATCAAATGGTTAAATTCTTGGTTATATGCTAAGAAAACAATGAGTAAGATAGATGTGGTTCCTACGCTGTGGATCTTTCAATACAGTTGAGGGAAACAGACAATAAAGAATTACCTGTGAGTGGAAATCTTATACATTTTGATTGTTGCTTTGTTGGAAACCAGGAAGATATCAAGATTAACAAGAGGAACCTACCTGGTTAATCTACTTCAGAAGGGATTTCAGCAAGCATCTCTCTAAGGAAGTGAGTTTTATGCAAAGCGTTGAAAGCAGGAGAGTCAGCAGGCATCCATGCCAGGACGTGCATTTGGGAGGTGGTCCCAGGCAGGCATGCAAATGGCAGAAGGTAGGAAAGGGCTTTCTGGGCTGACAGAGCACAAAGACCATAATCTGGGGTAGAAAATTCAGATGATGAGATGAAGATGAAGAAGTGGGAAGGGGCCAGATCATGTAAAGCCTTTTTAGGCCAAGGTAGAGAGTTCGGGTTTTATCCTAAGTAAAATGAAGAAATGAAAGGAAAATTAGAGGATCTTAAGCAGGAACGTGACATAATTCAATTTCTGTTGTAGAGCAAGCCTGGCTGTGGTGTAGAGGATAAACTGTCATGGCAGGAAGAGCAGAAGTAGGGGTTGTTCCATCATTTGTGAGATAATTGATGGTGCTGACCCAGGGGAGCAGTGGGAGAAATGATACCCAGTGGGGGACAAGTAGATAAATTTGAGATAAGACTAGGAAGTGAAGCCAGCAGGACTTTGATAGATGGGTAAGAGAAAGGACTAAGTGAGACTGCCTCCAAATTTCTCCATTGGGCGCCAAAGCTGGGGCAGACCATTGTTGGAGGTGGAGGGCTGAGTAGGGGTCCTGTTCTCTTCTGTTTTC